ATGCGACGGCAAAAAATGCAAAAATCCTGATTTTCGTAATAGAATCTATAGTCTTTTTGCCCTGTTGTACCGCCATCTTGGATTTATCATGTAGGCCCCGCCTGCGCTAGGTATGCGTTAGCAATCTAGATCTCCTATATCTATGCTTGGACGTCTGCCATTTTGAATATTTTCAGGGTGAAAATCCTTCTCATAAGCGCACTGATCAAGAAGTCGACCTTCTACATGTCTCTATTCTGTGACTGCACTTTGATAAACATCGATCTGACGATCCAATAGTCTCAAATATCTTCAGAGAAACAGTTCAGGTTTTGTTTTAAGGCTGGTTTGCATATGGTCGTAACAGTAGTAAACACTGAGTCACGATCTTACTCATCAGCCGAAATACAAATTTTAGAACTGAAAAATGGAAATACGCAGGGTGATTATAACTAGAGAAAACTTTTGATTTATATGTGGTTTATAGGTGATAAACTATTATAAACTGGCCGTTGAGAAAGATCGTGACTCTTTTTTACAATCATTGGTGGGGAGCCATCCCAGGTACATACCTGAGCTCACTTTCCCGAGATGAATTTTACCCGTGTTTACATCATGAGACTTTGCATGACCTGTTTATGCATAAATTATACAATTTTGGTTGATTATAAGTAGTATAATGAAATGAGGGGTATTAGGTATTAAACCGCCCATTCGATGAGGGTCATTAACGCGTACGGCCCGAAGGAATTTACTTGATGATACGCCGAAATTTCATGATATTACCGTTGTAATATTATGGTTATCGAACTTTCTATCTGTGATTGCATACTTGGCGATGGCCTTCTCAGCTGATGAAAATGTGTCGGCGTGTCGAAAAGAGACATTGCCAAAGAATACTGACAAGAAAATACACGTCTTGGTGAGTAAACGTTCATAAATTCTGGGCGAGATCACTTGAGGTTAATAAGAAAGACGAAACGTGTTGGCCGAATATTAATAATGTCGAAAACAAAAGTTGTGAAGTAATGTTTTCTGATTCTGATATAAGCGATATTCTATATTGAGTCAATCACTGCAGTCGTACGTGGCCGGTTTCGAAAGACAAACAATACCTTCGTCAAGCAATGATAACTTGAACTTGAATGGGTTTATTGTGTACAATTGTAATATAGGTACTGTGAATGTATATATTAGATAGCTTAAGATCTACGACGTCGACGTCAGCTAGGACGTCAGGGCTATGCAGAGGGCTGGGACTAGGATGTCGTCCTAATGTAGTCCCAGTCCTCTGCTTAGCCCTGACGTCCTAGCTGACGTCGACGTCGTAGATCTTAAAGTGCTTATGACACAAAATTTCATCCCAAAGGTTTATGGTTGCATTGTAAAGATCACTTAAAATGACTTAATAATTTCTTTTATAGAATTTTGGTGTGACATCATATCACATAATGAGTTTTCAGAAAAGTATAGTTTTCTTCACGAATACGTATCTAAAAAACTTAAAAATTGCCCTTGTATACGTATTAATGTCATAACTGGTAATTAACCCTTTGTATTTGTTTGTAAAAATATTTTATCAAGGTAAAATATTGCGTTTTCAAAATGTCATTATGCGATGTGATGTCACACCGGTGATATTTGCATATGAAACAAAGCTGAATATCTTGCAAAG